AATATATATAAGTTATCGTGTTTGTATCATGAACTGAAGAATTTTCTATACAAAGTAGTGATGGCTTGTTTTTTAAGGTAAGCACAAAGCTACACAATGGGCTATCTGTGCTTTGCCCACCACGGGTATCGAAACCCGGCTTCTAGCGTTGTAAGTCCGCAGACATACCGCTGTGCCACTGTGCCAATATGCGAATATGTAAAGCCTAAATCATATTCCAAAATAGAATAATCCCGTTGGCTTGTTTCAAGAAAGCAGTGGTCAAAACTATTCCGCCTTCCACCAGACATCTCATGCAAAAAAAAGAAGAGAACAATCTTTTAACAGCGAAACAGTTAACAACGTTTTGTTAACCTTGATAACATTGTAAAACAGCAACACATGATTATGCTGATTTGAAGAAGTTGTGTCAAATGACAACTTACGCCATTAAGTGGTTGGTTTAAGAGTACAAAGCGCAAGTCTGTCATTTCTTCCAGGAAAGGCTCAGGGTTTTGTTCTTGCGATTGGTGTTGTCCTCTATTTTAGAACCGAAGAACGATCGTAAACAACACACTTGTCCATCAAACACATATTTTGCTTTAATATAATTGAAATAACTTACAATTGCAGTAAACTTTTCATGTAACATCATGCTAAAAAAAAAAAGAAGCAAAATTTAAGTAATTTACAGAGTCGACCTCCAGCGGTATACGTGAGTCTTATTCTTTCATGTTCCAAACCCAGAAAGCTCATTGGTCAAACTATACCAAGTAGAAGTATGAAAAATACGCAGAATCTCTTAGTTATACGAAAATATATCTTGTATATTATGTTTTGTAGTATAAATGTAAGTACAGCGTGATTATAAAGAAAACTCTATATTTAAACTTACTTATTCTAATAGAACTACACTGAGATTCATAAGCCTTATTTAGGAAAGTTTGGATACAGTACAGGGTGATTGAAAACTATCACAATCAAGGGTGTTCAACATACGTTTTGTAATCCCTAACTCAAGGGTGTTCAACATACGTTCTGTAATCCCTAACTCAAGGGTGTTCAACATACGTTTTGTAATCCCTAACTCAAGGGTGTTCAACATACGTTCTGTAATCCCTAACTCAAGGGTGTTCAACATACGTTCTGTAATCCCTAACTCAAGGGTGTTCAACATACGTTCTGTAATCCCTAACTCAAGGGTGTTCAACATACGTTCTGTAATTCCTAACCAATGTTCGTAGATCCTCGCAATATTTTCGACAATGAAATGCATATTTATTACAATTACTACCATCGTACTGTTGATCGAGAGAGAAATGAGACAAATAAAAGGCAAAGTTATTTTTCAAGAAAAATGCGGTAAAATAGGATTTTGGAGCACCCTGTACAGTGTCCAAACTTTCATGAATAAAACATATACTTGTCTCTGAAATGTAATGGGAATTCAATGCAAATGAAAATAGTTAATTCTCGTTAGTTAGAGAGTATACTTCTAATTATAATGTATTTCTAAATATCTTTCTTGTATTTCTTACAGAGCCTGTTACCCATAACTTTATCATTTTTAGTCACTTTTAGTTTTATTTCCACACAGTCCAAAGCCTTCAGAATTTTACCTATATTTGTATATAGTTCTGTGCCTTCCAGATTTCATCTTATCTTCATACAGTTCAGTGCCTTCCGGACTATGTTTTTATCCTCACGCAGTTCAATTTCTTCCAGGTCTTAACTTTATTTTCATTACAGGCAATGCCTTCCAGATTTTACTTTTATTTTCACACAGTTTAATACCGTCCAGATTTTATTTTCCCACAGTTCAATGCCGTCCAAAAGTTATATCTATATCTTCACACAGTTTAATACCGTCCAAATTTTACCTTTATCTTCCCACAGTTCAATGCTTTCCAGACCTATTTTTACGATCTCGGTTCATTTACCTAAGATTGTTACAGTCTTAAAGTTTACTGACTTGATCACTTTCTATGACTCACTATACACATTAAGTTTTTTCTTGTCTTGGATTCTTGAAAAGTTTTCTTTTGAGCTTGTTGCTTTGGTGAGTTCCCTCACATGTTGTACAACATATGGGCGCCTACTGTATGCAGAATTCTATTAGAGCAAATTGAAAATACTCCACACTTAGTTCATCCACACACACACCCCACCACCCCCGAATTTCAGATATGTATTTTTTTACATCACTTCTTTGGAAAGTCTAGGTTTAAAGGTTCTTAACATTTAGTTAGTTAGTTTGTTTGTTTGTTTTGAATTTCGCGCAAAGCTACACGAGGGCTATCTGCGCTAGCCGTCCCTAATTTAGCAGTGTAAGACTAGAGGGAAGGCAGCTAGTCATCACCACCCACCGCCAACTCTTGAGCTACTGTTTTACCAACGAATAGTGGGATTGACCGTCACATTATAACGCCCCCACGGTTAAAAGGGCGAGCATGTTTGGTGGGACGGGGATTCGAACCCGCGACCCGCAGATTGCGAGTCGGGCTCCCTAACTACCTGGCCATGCCGGGGCCTTAACATTTAGAGACGAACAATACTGTCATATTCTTTGATAGATTGTATAGACAGAGTATTCATAATGAAACTTAGTTGAATGGATACCAACTGCGTGTTGTAGAAACACAAGTGTAGAGGACGACGCTTCGAAAGTCTTCCGCCTTTCGTCTTCAAGTTCTGAAGATGAAAAAAAAAAAGTTCTCAACATGAAACGTTCACACTATAATTAAATTGTGTAAGGTCCTTTATGTTAGCGCATTTGTTTTTAACAAAGTGTTCATTAATTCATCAGTTCAGTTTACGACGATATAATATAAACTTGAACCACAAGTCATCTAGGTGTGTATTGCACAACGACAATTTTTATGTAACAAGACATATAAACTAGCACAAAATCTCCATTTTCTTCTTCTTTTTTTGTATTCAATTCACCAGTTTAATATACATTCACGATAATATAACGTCAATTTAAACCGCAAGCCATCCCGATGTGTATTGCACGACGACATTATGTGTAATAAAATACATGAATCAGCACAAAATGTATATTTAGTTTTATTTAACTCACCAATTTAGTGTACATACATTCACGACAATGTAATATAAGAGTAAACCGTGCTTCATCTAGGTGTGTATTGTACAACGACAATTTTCATGTAATGAAACATATGGACTAGCACAAAATATTCATTTAGTTGCATTTAATTCACCATTCATTTTTGTAAACGCATTCACAACAGTATAATATGAGAATGAGCAGCGCGCCATCTAGGCGTGTATTATACAACGATAAGTTTTATATAATAAAAACGTCAGTTTTCTGACCATAATGGACTAGCACAAAACACTCATTTAGTAGTATTTAAAAATGAAAATTTTAAAACGGAACTACACGAGTAGAAAATTTGTCATTACACACACCTAGATAAAATATCTGATTAAAGGTTTTCTAAAATCGTCTAGATGTCTCACATAACCAACCCAAAGAAAAATTGTCTAACGCACTATAGTTGAAATAAACTTTCATACTGTCTTTGAAAACAGTTTCGATGAAATCAAACTCGTGTCCATGGAAACTGTATCAGATGAATGACGATCGATTAATTTCTTCAGGATGAGCCTTTAGAACTTCAAGCCTGTGACTAGAGGGAATGTAGCTAGTCAACGCCACCCACCGCCAATTCTTGGGCTTCTCTTAACCAATAGTGGGATTAATCGTAACTATATAACGCCATCACGGCTGGATAGACGAGCATGTTCAGTGGTGGGATTTGAACACGCGGCCCACATATTGTGAGTCGAGTGCCCTAACCATGAGGCAATGCAAGGCCCTGAGAAATTATAGGATATAAAAACAAGGTTCAAAATGATCTAACTTGAAAATTATAGGATATAAAAACAAGGTTCAAAATGATCTAACTTGAAAATTATAGGATATAAAAACAAGGTTCAAAATGATCTAACTTGAAAATTATAGGATATAAAAACAAGGTTCAAAATTATCTAACCATAGAGTACAAATAAACCAACTTACAAAGTAACAGTCTTGCTTTTCAAATCATAACTGATCTACTAGTTCACATCATAATCTTTAATGTACAAAAACGAACTGTACGTTGTGACACTGGGAAAACAAGCATGTAATTTACGTGCCAGCTTTATTAGACACTCCACAATATTAAGTCTAGTCTTTGAAGGATGTTCTTAGATTTCAATAATCCGTAACTTAAATGTCAGGACTAGTATTAAATAATCCTTCATTTAGGACTAAGCTCATAGTTAGATGTTATTTCGCTTTGACTTACTTTTAACTGCCTTAATAAATATGACAAAAGGGGGCATCAGTTTGAACGTTAACCAGTTCATTTACATTTCATTCAATTTTCCGCGACCATCTCATCTCTCTGACGTGTGAAATAACATATTCTGTTCATTTTATAGCAATTTCTTACATGCCAAGTCATGCATCACATCACATTTTGTTTCAACGGTGGTTTCAATACTGTTACTCTTCGCCCATATCCAACAACAATTACAATAAGTTCTTCCGATACTTTAAATTAATATAGAGTAGATTGCCACCGAACATGGACGTACTGTAGTGTATCATGTTGTTAAGGGTTACTATGACGCCATCGTTTAAAATTAAGTCCCTTATTATATATTATAGCGCCATCTGGTGACAACGTCTCACGAATAATTTGGTTGACCTTTCCTGAAACAAGCTTTATTAGCAACAGTTTCAATTGTTTTATAAACTTTTTAAAAATTTTAGAAATTTTTAAAACATTTTAAGTGTCGCAGTTTTTCAAACTTTTGTTGTTATGTCTAAACATTTTTACGTGATCTCTACAGAATAAAATCTGTTAGGGTACAGATTTTTCATCAGAATCAGTTCCTGTTCAGAGTTGTGTTGCACTAAGCCTATAATGGTATTTCGTAACAACCACAGGAAACATCGCAGACTTTCACATTTAATGCTATGTATCTTGTATAACTCTATTATCGAACACACTATTAGTATGTCTTGACAAAGGAATCTCTTGTTGTATCCCCTCTGTTGTTGACTGGCGGTCAGGTTTGTGATAATGAAAGCACTGAGTTGTGCTCAAATCATCTCCTAAAACATAATCATGTCGTCGATAAATGAAGATACCTGCAAGACCGATAACGCAAACACAAAAAATTCCCAGGGTAAGGATACCGATAAAAACAGGGCTAAACACATGAGACCTGGAGTTAGGAGTAGCACCGCTGGTGGCGCTGCTATCAAGAATAGAATTGTCTACTTCCTGATGTTTTCGACTCTTTAGCGTCTGATCTTCTGATGACGATGCCAATAGTCTGGTTGTATTTGCTGAAGTAAGAAATACTTTAAGGTAAAGTCAGACACAAGTTACGGACAAAAATAAATAAATAATAAATTTCGCGCTGTATTAAAAATTAACTTTAGATAAAAATATTTGTAGATACACACACAGTAGTACACAATTCCACATCAACGAAAAAAAAACAAAAAAACAGTTAATTACTTGTTGACTAGTTAAATAAAATTGTAAATCAAAATGGTTTCAATCACTTATTAGTTCAGGAAATAAATCAAAAATTACAATTTGTGTATGAGTAGACACTATAATTTTAAGATATTATTTTAAAATAGTTGAATTTCCCTCATTTTGATAATTTATAAATTTTAAATGTGTTTCATTCCAATGGTATCAATATGTAGAAAAACTACAAAAAAAAAAACACTCGAACCTTCTAGTGATGAATCTTTAATGGATGTATTTGGAAGTTTTGACATAACCCAGGCTGTAGAAGTTGCCATTGTTTCTTGGTTGCAGAAGTTTGTTGAACAGCACATCAGGATTGGCCAGTTACTAACTATAGCCGGTCGTCGATTTTCACATAAAAGGGGTGTCTTAGTGATGATGCACCCTCGAACCAAAGGGCTGGAGCCGTCTTTTCGGTCCAGGAATTGCGTGTAACACACGCTGCTTGTGTTACAGGTACTGTGATGTTCTAGTTGGCACTGACTAGTAGTACACAGACAGGTGATACGTCTCCCTAGAGAAACGGGTAGATGTATTAATATATGACATACGACACTGATGTTACCAGGGATATGTTCTAGCTAACACTAACTTTTAGTCGCACACAAACATGTTTTCTTGGAAAGAGACAAATGGGTGTATTTGTACCTTGGGGAGGGGGTGCCATTAATGTAGTATATTCTAACGTTACTATTAGTGTAAAGTTTATAGGAAAAAAAATAGGTGAAATACCACACACCATAAAGTACTAGAGATGTGAATATGTGTTGTGAAGTTTATAATGTTCTACCTATCAGGTAATAAATTTTCGTCTGAAAATCTTATTTTGTGACACATAAAGTGAATACGGAATTTTATTGGAAACCGTCCTGCCATCTAGTGACGTGAACTTTAATGACAATAATTGAAAGAGGTCGCCTATATTTTATTACTTGCTTGTTGTAAAGCGCAAAGCCACAAAATCTTTGCTGTGTCACCACGGGTATCGAAATAAGGCTTTAAGCGTTATAAGCCTTTACACTTACCGCTGAGCTACAGGAGGTTAATGTAAGACTACACTATGGGCTACCCGTGCTCTGCCCACCGTAGGTATCGATATCCAAGTTTTAGCGTTATAATTCCTCAGATTGACCGCAGAGCCACCAGGAGGTAAATTTTATTACTAATCTGCGTCAAGTTACAGCAGACCGAAGCCCTATCACTTTCATTGTTCAATAAAAATAAAATATTATTAAATATTTTAATAGATATTAAATATAAATCCAATAAAGTAATTATTAGGAGATACAAAAATAATTTGAAATAACTCCTCTTTTATTACATACAGTGTCTTTGAAAAATAGAATATCCTGAGGAAGAAAATTCCATCTCCAAAAAACAATGTAAATTAAATTGTTTAGACTATAAAAGAATGTCACGTGTCAATCAAGCTAATGATAGGAAGCAACACGTGGAATGAAAAATGTTGGTACATCATATTAAAGAATAAAATTCTAATGCTTTTGACAGGCGGACCTGTCTTCGGTAGGTGTAGAGGCAGGATCATATAAATAATGTATTTTCCAATGTTAAAATAAGAAAAATACTGACTTCCTGGGATTAAATCATCCCAGATTCTCGTGTCGTGACACGAGCTTTCTACACCGAAATATTAAAATAGTTGCTATTGATAGATTGATATTGAAATTATTATAGAACATCATTTGACGTCTTGGCTTTAATTTAAGAGCAAAAACGATTTAACTAACTGTAACGGCGTGACAAATCTGACATCTTGATTCGTGTCTTGACGTTAAATAATTGTTCCTTACTACAGAATATAGTTTTAATGGTCATAGTATTCCAAAGTTTGCTTTCTTATTTGGTACTAATTTTAACGATGAGATATAAAAGAGTAATCTGTCATAGTTAAGAAAATAGACAATAGCACATGCTATAACATAGCCTAATTGAATTTCTTTGTACAACCAGGTTGTGAGAACAAAGGATTCGTGCGACATGTTTTCGGATAACACGTACTCCTAAACATCGTTTAGAGGCACATCAAAATGATTATTATAACCTCACACATTTAGTTTATCAATAAACAACAACAAAATAAAGTCTGCCTTGGACTGACATTTCAAATAAGGAACGAAATTACCAGAAAAGTAAAAGGATTCACCGGATCAGAAACATGGCCTGGTTTAACAATAAACATAGCTAGACCGAAGCGATATTTAGAGAAGTGTGACACGATCTAATACAACTATTGACACTGGAGTACAGACTGTACACAGAAATATGACATGAACTAATAAGGCCATGTAGAGAGAAGGCAGACTGTAAAAGTGAATACAAAAATATAAGACACCGTCTAACATAAAAATACAAATTTTGGCCGCTGAAATTTATACAAAATTAAAATATGGCCTGATACATAAATAGGGTTGTTTGTTTGTTTATTTTAGAATGTCGCCCAAGGCCAATCTGTCCCTCGTTTGGAAATAACAGACTAGAGGGAAGGCAACTAGTCAATAACTTATATAGGTAGTTTTCTGCGATCAGTAGTTTATATTAATTAAATATCAGTTGTATTAACATTTCCAGCAAAATTAATCATTTCAACAGTCAAACATTATAATAATACTCAATTTTTGTCTGTCCTGAAAATGCGCGCGTCTTACTCTCTAAATTCAATTCGACAGATGTAAATATAGTTTAGTAGACGTTTGTTCAACAATATATTAAAAACTTATCAAAGGTCTAACGTTGGGCCGTACAATAACATTATAAATATATTTATTGGTAGTATTAAGTACGGCAAAGTTTAGCCCAAACTAAACTAAAGCAAAAAGCGTACACAAGTTTCAGTGTTAATTTATCTTTTTTATCGAACATAAGCCGTAATTTAATAAAGGCTTAACTAATGTTAGGCTGAAGACTAGTGGAGTTACAGATTTCGGTGTCTGTGATTAGAA